CTTCCAGCAAGCGTGCATGAGCGTGTTTTGATAGGAGTGAATGGAGACGAATGATAAATTGGGACCTGACGATCTGTTTTGGGGTGTGAGCAGGGTAATATTTAGTGAAGGGATTCAGGGAAACCGGTATTTTCATAAGTCGGACTTGAGTCCTGGAAATGGGAAAATACAATGCCTGCACTTTAAAGGAGGGGTTTGGGATATTGGCAGTTTTGGAGGGATATGTTGTGTATCTTTATACGTATATTACTTCTAAGCTGTTGTATTCTGAGCACCTCTGCAAAAGCGTGATAATGTTGAGTGTGGTGAAAGTGTTGAATGATGATGAAAGTATTTTCTTTTTGGGATTTTCTTTCTTTTTTGGGTCACCCTGCCTTGGTGGGAGACGACCGACTTGTTGAAAAAAAAAAAATATATATACAGGAAGGCCCCACTTATACGGCGGGTTAGGTTCCAGGCTACCGCCGTAAAAAGCGGAAACGCCGTAAAGTGGAACACCCTTTTTTTCCACTTATAAATGCATACAAACACTAGATAACAAGTTTACACTAACATATATTAAGTTAGAAATAGAACCAGGCATAAAAAAAACAATAAAAAGGTACAATACACAATAGTGCACTCATTACTTACCTTAAAAATATTTATAGTCTTAATCTAGGGTGAGACAAGTAGTATTTATTGTAAGAAATCAAGTGTGGTATGTATTGTAATAGCCTCACCAGGCCACCCCACCCACACATACTTTTCTATGATATTTAAGCATCCCAGAGCGAATAAAATGTATATACAGTTCACTCATTACTTACCTTAAAATATTTGTAGTCTTAATGTAGGGTCAGGAGAAAGAAAATGAGTAAAACGAATAAATGAGAGAGAGAAAGAATGAATACATGAGAGGGGCGGGGCGCAGTTATGTAAACAACCAGGGGAAGGTAAGTTTTGTAAACAAACGAAGTGAAACACGTCTGGTTTGTGTACAAGTTACATTGTGTACAGGTTTCTCTACATTGATACGGTAGAATTAATAAAGAAGAACACCCCCATTCTCATGTAAATCATTTTGAGAAGAAATGAAGCTCTGAGTGAAGGCAATGGAAATAAGTCCACTGACTTTTTTGGGTTATCCTAGGTTCTCTAAAACGTATGTTGTATGTATGATAATCTATGTAACTGTATTTGTGTATACCTGAATAAACTTACTTACATACATTTCGAAAGGAATAATTTTCTACAGTTACCCCCAGTAAACACATTTACTCTTATGTTAGATTAGAGAAATGTTATTCTTGGCGTCACTTGTACAAATTATGTGGCTCCCACTTTATATTTATGTTTATTTATTCTATTGTGGGGTGTATTTATCATCTTTTTTTGTTATTTTTAGTGTTTATTATATAAATTTGAAAAAAAATCATGGATGGATTAATGAAAATGTGTTATTACGTAATATACGACATTTAATGAGACTCGGTATTGTTTTATCACCACTTGTGCAAGTCGTCTGCTACGACATCTCACTTTGGTTTATTTATTCTATGTGGGGTGTATTTATCTTATTTATATGTTATGCATCGTGTTTATTATTGATTTGAAAAAATATCATGGATGGATTAATGAAATGTGGTATATTACCCGTATATACGACATTTAATGAGACTCAGTATTGTTATTATCACCACTTTTGCAAGTCTTCTGCTACAAAATCTCAAAATTTGTTTATTTATTCTACTGATGGGGTGTAAATTTAAACTTATTTATATGTTATGATCGTGTTTTATTAATAATTTTGAAAAAAATATATGGTGGATTAAAGAAAATGTGATATTAACGTAATATACACATTTAAATGACTCGATGTATTTAAGTTTATTTAGGTACAGGTATACATAAGTAATTATCAGAGTAAAATATAAAATGAAATAACTTTTAAAAACATTTGAAATTTTGGAGTTTTCAGACAAAATGGAGAGACTTAGTGCTTACTAGCTCATGGAGAATGTAAACAAAACGGGGGGGCACGGTGACCGTATTAGAAAGTCAGGTGGGGGGAGCCGTATAGTGAGTTTTGGTCATAATTTGAATGTCCGTATTAGCGGAACGCCGTAAAGTGAAACGCCGAAAAAGCGGGGCCTTCCTGTATATATATAAAATATATATATAATATATATTTTAAAATATATATATTTATATATATATATATTTATATATAATTGTTTTTTTTTTTTTTCTACAAGCGGACTTGAGTTCTGGAAATGGGAAGTTCAATGCCTGCAGTTTAAAGGAGGGGTTTAGGGATATTAGCAGTTTGGAGGGATATGTTGTGTATCTTTATACGTATATGCTTCTAAACTGTTGTGTTCTGAGCACCTCTGCAAAAATAGTGATTATGTGTGAGTGAGGTGAAAGTGATGAAAGTGATGAGGTGAAAGTGATGATGAAAGTATTTTCTTTTTTTGGGATTTTTTCTTTTTTTGGGTCACCCTGCCACAGTGGGAGACGGCCGACTTGTTGAAAAAAAAAAAATTTATAGGTCCAAGCAATGTTTTAGATACCCTGGCATACACCTTGAAGCATGTTTTTATGAATGGCATCCCTATACTGTTGACAGCCCAGTGACTTTTGATAAATGCCCACTGCTCCAGCTAACCCTCTCTGTATTTGTTATCACTGTTACGCACAAACATGTCTTGTCTCTCTGTCTATTTATCTGTCTGTCTGTCTATCTGCCTGTCTATCTATCTGTCTATCTTTGCCTGGAATTTTTGGGTTATCCTAGGTAATTTACACTATGTATAACTGTACTTATGTGTGCATGTGAGAGAGACAGATAGACAGAGATGTAGACAGATACAGAGATATAGATAGAGAGACAGCCAAAGCCAGCCAGCCAGCTGGCCAGCCAACTAGCTGGCCAGCCTGCCAAATACATAAGAAAGAAAGAACACTGCAGTAGGCCTACTGGCCCATGCAAGGCAGGTCCGTGCCCTCCCCTCCCCCCGGCTTAGACCAATGACCCACCTAGTCGGGTCACATTCACTGAAGGAAGGAGCACGACATCAGACCTAGTAGCACAAGCTAGTCAGCTCCAACTCACACCCACCCACACTCACTCATGTAGTGCTTAGCGAACCCTCACTGTATTTGTTATCACTGTTATAAACATGTCTGCCTGTCTATGTCTGCTTATCAGTCTTTCTGTCTGCCTGGAGTATATGTATATCAAACTCCTTGAAGAATGGTGTTATGACAACTGTTGACAGCCCAGTGACATTTGATAAGTGGGTGCTCGGGGAACCCTGGCTTTATTTGTTTTCACTGATACACGCAAACATGTTTGTCTGTCTATCTTTGCTTAAAATTTTTGGGTTATCCTAGGTAATTTACACTATGTACAATAATTCTACTTATGTGTGCATGGGAGACAGAGATATAGATAAACAGAGATATAGATTGACAGAGATATAGACAGAGAGACAGCCAGAGACAGCCAAAGCAAGCCAGTCAGCCAGAGACAGCCAAAGCAAGCCAGTCAGCCAGCCACCCACCCTGCCGAATACATAAGAACATAAGAAAGAAGGAACACTGCAGGGGGCCTACTGGCCTATGCAAAGCAGGTCCATGTCACACTCCCTCCCCCAGCTTGGACCAATGACCCACCTAGTCAGGTCACATCCATTGAAGAAAGGAGCATGACGTCAGATCTACTAGCACAAGCTAGCCAGGTCCAACTCACTTTCACCCACACTCACTCATGTATTTATCTAACCTGTTTTTACTTTCCTCTTAAAATGGGAGTGTTAATGCGATCATGGCATCAGTGAATCCCTGGTGTTCGCCACACTATTTGCTCTAGCTGGTGCTCAGTTGAACTGGTGCTCTCACAAGGTACTAAATGCTCCCCAATTTTTTTAATACTGTGCACACTGAGTGCACAGATGCATTCTTTCATGTTTTGGTGACTCAAGCCTATTGTGCCAAATTTGAAGGAATGAAAAATAAAACGTTGATCTACGTTTGGAGTGCTACGCATGCAAACGTAAATCTATGTTTGGACAGTTTAAGGGTTAACACTCATTGCAACAGGGTTAAATCAGGGAATAAATGTAAAGTGAAAATTGTTAAGAGCACCCCCTACCACCAGTCAGTCTAAAATCGATCGTGCAAATAGTGGCCCTGACCAGGAATCAAATTTTTTTTTTCTCATCAACGTTATAAAATGACATTAAATGAGGACTTACTATATTTCAATAGTTTGGACAACCTTGTTGCTGATGAAAAATGATGCCATTACTGTTTTACACAAGAACTAGTAGGAAAATAGAAGAAAATCCAAAGGGGTGTGTGTATATATATGCTTGTACATACATGCATGTGTAGTGTGACCTAAGTGTAAGTAGAAGTAGCAAGGCATATCTGAAACCCTGAATGTTTATGAGACAAAAAAGCCACCAGCAATCCTACCATCATGTAAAACAATTACAGATTTACGTTTCACACGTGGCAGGACAGTAGTACCTCTCTAGATGGTTGCTGTCTAGCAACGTACTACCTAGGTGTTTTACATTATGCTTTGAAAATTTGCTTAGAATTTTTTTGTATTGGGTTTACCAGTATATTGCCAAAAAGAGTACTTTATTTAATCATGCAAAAATCCCAAAACAGTTTTTTTCATATACCAGCAAAAGCTGCTCTGAATTTTACCTAGTCACCAAAAGCAAGACTTTTTTTTTAACTAGCCTCACTCCCAACAACGTAGGGAGACCCAGAAAAGAGGACACTTCCACCATTTCATATTCAATTACTGTCATGGTAGAAGAATACTGATATCACAGTTCAGATGACCATCCATAATGCAGCCTCCTCATCCCTCCTTCAGAGTGAAGGGAATGTATGCAGTGTACAGTATGTTACAATTTACACTACATACAACATTATTCTTTCTCTAACTTGTGTAAATATTTTAAACATCTTTACTAACGTTGATTTGTCTTCCACAGACAGTGGGACTAGATGGTGGAGAATACAGAAACTTGGCTGGAGAATTCAACATGTTAGCCACCATCCCTCAAGAGCAGTGGGACATGTTGGCACTACTCATTCGCCAGAAAAATGAACAATCTAAGGAGAATAAAAAGAGCACCAGTTAGTTAAGCTCTTGACTGCATCAAGGGAATTCAATATTTATAGTTTTTTAAATAAATTTATGCTCTACTGTGCCTTACTTGTTAGCTTCTTCTAGGTAATCATTTTAGTCCCCTTCCCTTAACATCCATATATGATAGACCCTCATATTGATAAATAGACACAAGTGCAACTCTTGGGTATCTTTATTAAGGAAACGTTTCACCACACAGTGGCTTCATCAGTCCATTCGCCACTGTGTGGCGAAACGTTTCCTTAATAAAGATACCCAAGAGTTGCACTTGTGTCTATTTATCAACGTGTCGGTTCTGTGAACCATTCATCTAGACCCTCATATTACAAAGCAGTTACGTTCCTGAAAAATGCCGTGTTAGATAAATCTGTGTTATATAAACTGAAGAACTTATGGGGAAAATAGGGTTACATTCCTGGGACCCCCTTCCCCCCCCCAAGTAAAAAGCCATACAAGTGGAGATGCATGGTGTGGCTCTACTGGGCTGAGGTGGATGGTTGTTGGTTGTCAGCAGAAGTGGATGGTTGAGGTTCTGGTACTAAAGTTGTTGATTTTATTAGAATGTGCATAAATTCTGTAATGGATCTCTGGCTTCTTTTACCCTGTAGTACATTATACATTATTCCAGAAGCTTGGTACTGCCAAGTTGGAGTCCATTGATACAACTAGTTTTTTCATCACTTTTCTTGTGTAGTTACACTTGAATGACTTAATAACTCCCCAATCCAGTGGTTGTATCAAAGATGTTGTATTTGGAGGTAAAAATACAACTTGTACATGTGGGGTCACATTGAGCTTCTGGATGAGTATGGGAATGATTAAGAATGAAGAGAGCCTTGAATGCAAGGTTCTTCATGTGCAGGTAAAACTTGACTTCAGTCAATAAATATTTCCTGTCATCCATGCTGACTGGTTTGACCTCCAAATTACTGGTAAGGTGTTTTTATCTACACCTTTCAAAGCACGAGGATTCTTAGAGTGGTAAATAACCATGGGCTTACACTTGAAATCACCCGATGCATTACCGCAAAGGAGCAAGGTGAAGCAATCCTTTGTTGCCTTGAAGCCTGGTGCATCCTTGCTAAGACAGTGGTCTCACTGACAGCCAGGTGGCAGCCTCAGCTAGGGAAATATCCTGTGAGCGACACTCCAAATTTTTTCCCCTCCTGCAAACCAAACTGTGATGTTAAGTTACTTTTACGAAGCATTGTATAAAATTGTGCCTCAATTTTTCAGTAGTGCTAATAACCAAAATGTGCCAAATAAATCTGTGTAAAATGAGGGTCTATTGTACAAAGTTTATCTGGTATGGTTTACTTTTTTAGATGACCTGGGAACAGCATTGAAGCATTGGTAGTTTTTATCGAGATAAATGTTTAAATTTGTTCTTTCTGCTGTTGGAGTATGAGCAAGATAACATTTATGAAGGGATTGGGGAAACCAGTTAGCCAGAGTTGAGTCCTGGAGGTAGGAAGTACAGTGCCTTCAAACTGCAATATCACCTCTCCTGGAGGAGGATGGGCATATGAGCTGTAATGTCAGCACACCTCATTCAAGACAATGATAGAGTGAATGATGGTGAAAAAAGGGTTTTAGTTACTTTGAAGCAGTTTGCTGGTTGATCAGGCATAGTGTGACATAATTACATTAGCTATGGTGGAAGGCTTATTGCCACTCTTTCAACAGTGTTAAGTTAGTGCCTTTGTGTACTGACTAACATGTTGCTCACTTACCAGCAAATATATAACACACTTCCTAGTATCAGGTGATATATATAGTCTTAGTTTGTAACTACAACATTGTATAGAACGTGTAACTAAGATTTCTCTATACAAGAGTGACCCGTGCTATGTTAAGTAACTATTAGGGAAATGTTGATTTAACTAGTTTAACCCTTTGACTGTTTTGTTCATATATATACGTCTTACGCGCCACTGTTTCAGACATATTAATACGAGTAAATTCTAGCAGCTTCAAATCAAGCAGGAGAAAGCTGATAGGCCCACATGTGAGAGAATGGGTCTGTGTGGTCAGTGTGCTCTACATAAAAAAGTCCTGCAGCACGCAGTGCATAATGAGAAAAAAACTGACCTCTTTTTTGGATTAAAACACCTACTTTGAGGTGCATTTTCGTATAGTATTTATCGTTGTACGTATTCTCGTTTTCATGGTCTCACATGATAAAATAGAAAACATATTACAGAAACAGAGATGATTTTGTTTAGTGTCACGATGAAAACGACCTTGAAATTGAGCACAAAGTAGCGGAAATGTTTGATTTTTACCAATGTTCAAGAGTAAGCAAATTACACCACACGTCCAATACACGTCAACTGGGGAGTATAATATTCTTTCACTAGTGCACTGATATTATTTATACCATTTTTACAATAATGCATTAGTCTGCATAACAGTAAATTTTGTATTTTTTGTATGAATAAAAAATCAAAATAGAAAGCAATAGTAATATAAGAGGGGCCTAGAGACATGACTGATGAACAGAGGATATGTTATTTTAGTGCCAAGAATGCCTACATTGTTTATTCTGGACCCTATTTTGAAATTGGCATCTTTTTTTAATTTGCACAAAATTGGCCAAATTGCCAATTTCTGACCACTTTATTGGGTAGTTCAGATCGGTAAATGGGCGGTTTCTTGTACTCAGCTGATAGAAAAAATGGAGTTCTAAAGAAATAGCTATGAGTTTGGTCAACTGGAACAATGGATTTGGCCAAAAACAGGGCTCAAAGTCGGCAAAATTGCTGATACGTATATGTCACCAAGACTGCTAACTTCGCGGGAGTGTAATTCCACGAGTTTTCGACCAAATTTCGTACTTTTGGTGTCATTACCATCAGGAAAAGATTCTCTATCATTTCATAAGAAATTTTTTTTTTTTTTTTTTTTCCAAAAATTTTGCGACATAGAATGACAGTTTCAGAAAGGGGCTTGCGACAGTCAGAGGGTTAAAGCTGCATCTGGAGGTATATAATTTTTTTTGTACTTTGCTGTGAATGATGGTGAAAGTTTCCATTTCCAAGTCACCATGCCATGGTGGGAGATGGCCAGGGTGTTAACCCTTTGACTGTTTCGGTCATATATGTACGTCTTACGAGCCACCGTGTTTGACGTATACATACTCGTAAATTCTAGCAGCTTCAAATCAAGCAGGAGAAAGCTGGTAGTCCCACATGTGAGAGAATGGGTCTGTATGGTCAGTGTGTACCATATAAAAAAAATCCTGCAGCACGCAGGGCATAATGAGAAAAAAAAAACTACTCCTTTTTTTTTTTTTAATTAAAATGCCGAATTTGTGGTCCATTTCCATAAGTATTTATGGATGTATTCTCGTTTTCTTGGTCTCATTTGATAGAATGGAAAATGTATTATAGAAATAGAGGTGATTTTGATTGGTTTTACTATGAAAAGAACCTTGAAATGGAGCTCAAAGTAGGGGAAATGATTGATTTTTGCCGATGTTCAAAGTAAACAAATGATGTCATTTTCCAATAAATGTCCAAGTAACCATTCTAATATTCAGTCATGAATGATTGGCATTATTTATACAATTATTACAATATTGCAGTAGTCTGCATAACAGTAAATCTTCTATTTTTTGTTTGAATAAAAATTCAAAATAGAAAGCAAGAATAATATCAGAGGGGCCTGGAGACGTGACTGATGAACAAAGAAAATGTTATTTTAGAGCCAGGAATGTCTGCATTGTTCATTCTGGACCCTATTTTGAAATTGTCATATTTTTTAATTTTCGTGAAATTGGCCAAATTGCAAATTTCTGACCACGTTATTGGGTAGTTAAAATAGGTAAATGGGTAGTTTCTTGTACTCAATTGATAGAAAAAATGGAGTTCTAAAGAAATAGCTATGAGTTTGGTTGACTGGAACAGTGGAATTAGCCGAAAATAGGGCTCAAAGTGGGCGAAATCATCAATTCGTAAATATCGGTGAGGTCGCTAACCTCGCGAGAACGTAATTCCATCAGTTTTCCATCAAATTTCGTTGTTTTGGTGTCATTACAATCGGGAAAAGATTTTCTATCATTTCACAAGATTTTTTTTTTTTTTTGCGACATCAGGAAACGCCTCAGGATTTGGGGTTGCGACAGTCAAGGGGTTAAAAAGAAAAAACTTATTTTTTAATACTTTAAATTTATTCTGGCAAATATCGACCCTACCTTTTTATAATAGTATTAAGACTTTTCATGCAATGAAATTTTTACCATTATAGTACTCTTCAGATAATTACAATTACAGTGGAACCTTGTTTTTTGGCCATAATCTGTTGTAGAAGGTCAGCCCTAAATTCGAAACAGCCTAAATTCGAAGCCATATTTCCCATAAGAATTAATGTAAATACAATTAATCCGTTCCAGACACCCAAAAATATTAACAAAAAATACATTGTTTACAGATTAATTATAGTTTTACATACACAAAACAATGAGAACTAAATAAATAAATGAACATTTAAATCACTATTACATATCTTTGTTGAAGACTTGTTGGCTTATGGAAGACAGGGGAGGGAGAGAGAGGGAAGACTGATTATTTTTTGGAAGGGGAATCCCCCTCCATGAAGACTTCAGGTATCAAAGCCCTCTCTGGGGCTTTGGTAAGCCTGTCTTTCATAGGCTTGTGTCCTGGCAGTGGCTTTTCCTTCGGCATGATGTAGGTCCTCTTTGGCATTTTTTTCTGAGAAAATCGCGTTTGTTTCTGCGTTTTTCTTACTGCACTAGTGAGCTAGTATAGTTAGCCTCTCCAAAACTTCATTTTCTCTTATACCTCAGAAGGGAAAGCATGGTAAGCTATGGTCAGAGGGATAATTTCTTTACCTCGGGAGTGATGGCGACCGCTCGCCATATAATGACATATTTTATTCATTCTAGAGTACGTACAAATATACCATGTTTCTATGTTGCTTATATTGTTTATTGTCATATTAGATCAGTTACGATAAAT